ATAAGGAAACAAACACTTGGCTTGTTGTCCTAAGAATTATTGGAGGCAAAGGCTGAAGACCTCAATGTGCAGTGCAGGTTATCCCAGGAAGTCTGGATCTAGCTGATGCCCAAACTGACATCTTGAACTCTTTGTGAAACATCCATGTTCATCAAATAATTGTTAATGCTTCGTTCACTTTGTGTTGGGTATTGCTGTGCTCAGAGAATTCCATGCCAAAGAGCAACTTAAGTGTAACAGTGTTTTGTTCAATTAAAAAAGGCAATAGCAGGATTCAGACACAAGATTTTCCAGACTGTTTATTTCATCTTGTTGATATAAATATATTTTTAGATAACTGAAATGTTATAATTTGTTTGAAAATTTTTTTCTTCTAATAATGCCAATAAAGCATTTCTAAAGTATGTGATCCATCCATAGACTTGGAATCTAATCAAACATGCTAGTTAAGTGATTATGACTCTTTAGTATCACTTACTCAAGAAAAGTCTAAGAAACACAACATTTTCAGATGCAATCATGATGTTGAGTACTGTCCTGGGACAAGAATGACAATGCTAGCTGCTCAAGATCTGCCCTCTCTGATGGGGATAAGTACTTGTCCATTACTGATCCAATTGAGAAATTTAACAGCATACAAACAATGTAAGGGATTATGATACATTTTCAAACTTCATTTGAAACAATGTGTTAAAGTAATGGCAATAAATTACTATGCTAGATGAACATCTGGATTGTGGCTGTTTAAAACCTATGAAAAATGTACTAATAACTTCAGTGCAAATTTATCATTGAATTATTCCTAAAAGCTGATGATTTCATACACAAATTAAATACTATGATTTTCTTAAAATGCATTGTTACAATGTAAATTTTGTATAAAATGGGACTATTGTGGACCTCATCAAGGAGATTTATTACTAGAACTAGATTGGAAATGGAAATAAAGTCACAGAAATCTCCTGTTTTATTGTAGGCAACATGGATGCTTATTTATTTACTTTAATAGTTAATTCACCAAGGTTAATGCTATGGAATAGAGCTACTTCAAAATAATATGGAGTAGAACCTACTTTGAAATAATAAATTTTGAATAAATTATTTTGAAGTAGGATCAGCAACATGCCAATCTGAGTTCAGGTGCAATCAGTAGGTGGAGGATTTGCAGACAGAAAACCACAACTAGAGTCCTGCTAGAGGGGCTAATCTGTTGAAAGGAAAATGAGCTTCTGTAGAAACAAATAAATGCTTCATACTTGTTTTTAAAAGTGTAACATGCACCTGCTATAAAAATGAAAACTAAAAATGGTTATAGCAGCTGTTGTTGCAACCTCAGAAGCAGTGACAGTAATGAAAACATTATACCAATGTCTAGTCCAATAAAACTCTTGTTTTTCTGTGCTTTGTGTGGGTGGACAAATAAAGTAATAATAGGAAAGAAAGAGAAGTTGCATCACTTTAGCCTAAACATACTGTGAAAATTTATCGTGGTTTATTTGTAGAGAGAAGATATTAATAATAACTTAAAAATGACCTTAAGGAATCCCAGGAATTTCTACAGTTCATTACTCATGGCAAATAAAAGTAAATACTTAAACTTACCATGAACTTTTTAAGCTGAAAAGCCAAAATTCTTGTAGAATGGGAAATGGACAGAAATGATGGTTTAAATTTTCAGTGGCATGCCCAAGCCATAAGTATAGGCAGAAAGCCATGCTGAATCATAATTTATTTAATGGGGTAGAAATGATATCTTTAATCTTAATTTTATAGCTAACATTATAAAATAAGACTGATCATAGATATCATAATTCTGAATGTGAACCTGAGGATTATTTTAGAGAAATATATTCTACCTGTACGATGGAGTTTATGTGAAATACTATCAGACTCAAAAGTAAACTTAAACTCTTATCCTCAAATAGAGGTATTTATTTTAAAGAGATAGACCTTTAAGAAGATTTAATATCAACATTCAAGAATGTAGTCAACAAAGCATTCTGTGATACTTACAGACGTGAAATAAGCGGTTATAACTTAATTAAAAAGCTGCTCAGCACTATTAAAACATTATGCATATCACTAAGAAAACAGTGGTATGAATAACATGTCTTTTTATGCTAAAATTATGTCTAAAATTACCTACAGGAATCACTCTCCCATTACTTTGCCTTCTCCATAAAGAAGTTAAATCTAGAGACCTTTCAGTTTGTTATGGTCTTTTCTCCCCCTTCAGGAACTTCCATTAGCACACAACCAGCTAGGTATCTTTCTGCTAGAAATGAGGGTGTGATAAGCAGCCTTCAGTACCAGCTTAGTCAGTTTTCCCTATTCTTAAAATTTGATTCAGGCTTAGTTTAGCTTAATTTCACAGCTGTACCCAATGGTTCATGTACACACATGAATAACTTAATTCTTAGAATGTTGCTTAGAATGTCCATCATGAAAACTTAAAAAATACATTGAGAAAACCCTTAAAATAATGTAGAATATATTCTGTGCTTTTATCCTCCAAACTTGTGGTCTTACCAATCATGATATTACTGGATGCAAAGGGAATGAAAATAACAGTCTGTTATATTCTATGTGAATTATGAAAGGTTAAGGTATCATATATGAGAACTCCCCCACCCCAAGCACATTTTGGATTATTTGCATGCCAGTAATGAAGTTCACTTTTCACACTTTTTATCACCTTTCCAGCTGGAACATATAAAAGTTATGACCTCTAATCTCTAATACATTTATGATCTATTAAACTAAGTTAACCCTATAAACTTCATAGAAGTGCAAATGTTGTCTAGAACAATACTGTTGGATAGAAATTTCTGTGATGGAAATGTTGTGCATCTACACTGTCCAACAGAGTAGCCACTAGCCACATGTAGCCATCAAGCCTTTTAAATGTGGCTTGTGTAACTAAGGAACTGAATTTTAAATTGTATTTAATTTTAATTAATTTAAATAGCCGCATGTATTGGATTAGCACAGGTCTAATAGACCCTTCAAACATTCAAGTGTTGGAAATGCAAGGTCCATTATAGGCAATCTAGGAATCTTAAAATCTCACCATTGTGTTAAAACCTCTATGATTCCTTCAGTATGAATTTTTCCAGAACTTTCAAATTTTCAAAAGATAAAACCCAAACCAACCAAATCCTTTAGGCTGCTTTTCTGTATGAATCATCTTTTTGCAAAGAGGTGTAAGACTGATTTTATTGCCAACTCTGCCCCCTCTTCTACAGACAGAACTCAGTGATTAGATTCTGCATTTATTTAGGTTATTTGCCTAAAAAACCTGGTTTCCATACTGCAAATAAATGACAGGAACTTTTCCACTAGATTATCCCAGACAGCACAAATGTTCTTTCCAAAAGTGGAGCCTGGAACCACAACTCCCTCACATTGCCTGTTACATCTGTTTATGCTTATAGAAGTGACATCCACTTCACAGACACAGAATGCCAATTTCTTGGGAAAGGACCCAGAATTTGGTGACGCTTAAAGAAAAAAAATAAGCCCTCACTGTTTAAAATTAAAAAAATACATAGAATTGAGTATTGAGTAGCTAAAAAATCCTTTTGAAATGAAAAGATTTTGCTACCAGAGTATATAGAATCTGTGTATGGACTTGCCTAGGTTCATATTCAGCCATAATCATTCACTATTAATAGCTACTAGAGAAGCGGATAAGTTACAAAACTTAAACCTTAGTTTTTCCGTCAGTGAAATGGGACTAAAAATAGTTCTGTTGGGAAAACTTGCGAAAGACATTGAAATGAGCAAAAGATTACTGTTTGTCCTTTCAATGGAATGCTGGATCTTATCCACAGGGCTCCAGAGTGTTGTGAATTTACAGTAGTCTGTACCTTAGAGTGTCTTTCACTAGGCTATTTTACTACTCAGTAAGCTGTAGAAACGTTTGGTAATGTGTAAATGAGTATTATCTACAGAATGCAAATTTATTTTGTTACTTTAGAGATACAACTGGTTACTGCCCTGTAAAGCAGATAATAATAAACATTTCAGTGCTCTATAGAATATTAAGCAGCTTTGCCTCTTCTTGCCTATATGTCTTCACAGTCTCACATAAATGGGTTGTAGTATCTTGCTGGGGTTCCCTTTCTAATTAAGAGCTATAAAAATTTTGACCCATGTTCATCTTATATTTCTACCATTGACATGTTTTTACCTTCTTGAAATTTTTTTCTTTAAGAGTTCCTACTCCTTAGGCTTTTTGGAAGGATTGGTTTAAAGATCTGTATTGACAGTCATGATCAGTTTTTTTTTTTTGAGACGGAGTTTCGCTCTTGTTACCCAGGCTGGAGGGCAATGGCGCCATCTCGGCTCACCGCAACCTCCGCCTCCTGGGTTCAAGCAATTCTCCTGCCTCAGCCTCCTGAGTAGCTGGGATTACAGGCACGCGCCACCATGCCCAGCTAATGTTTTGTAGTTTTAGTAGAAACGGGGTTTCACCATGTTGACCAGGATGGTCTCGATCTCTTGACCTCGTGATCCACCCGCCTCGGCCTCCCAAAGTGCTGGGATTACAGGCGTGAGCCACCGCGCCCGGCATGATCAGTTTTATACTTTGCAGGAAGGTGGTAACACTTCCGGTATTTGGGGGTGGAAGAGGGTGTACTGAGCGTTTAGAAAAGGGCGGGGGGGGGGGCGTGGGCTGAAAAACTCTCCCTAGACAGAAAAGGCAGAAGACCTCCTCATCCCTTTCTCTTTGGCAGTGGGACCTTAAGGTCAAGGTGAGTAGTAGGCCAGGCGCAGTGGTTAGGAGAAGGCCACTCTAGACTTAGGCCTATGTCTTGACCTTCCAATTAACGGAGTTAACTGCAGATTAAGTGAGGCCCCTGGCAGCTGTTCCCCTCAGAACCCAGTTCCGGAGCCAATACCCGAACCGGAAGCCGGCCTTGCCCCCAGGCCGGAGAGGCCCCTCGCCCACGGCCGAGGGGGTGGGGCGGCCTTGCCTCGGGCCGATGCTTTTCGCCCTTACTTGGCCGCCAGAGGCTCCCTCTCTCTCCCTCTCCCGGGATTTTGCTGCCGGGCTCCCTCTCTCTGCGGCCCTAGAGTTAATCCCATCCGCCGAGGTGAGGCACCTGTTACCCCTGGCCTTCCTCATCCCCGCGGTCTCTCCTCCATTACACCGCAGCCCTCCCAGCCGCCCAAACCACGCGGCGTGGCTACCGCACGTGGCCCAAATCCCTTTCCCGGCCGGCACCCATGGCCCCAGGCCGGCCCGAGCGTGCGCGCGCGTAGCTGCCCGGGCCGCCGCCCGCCAGCAATGGCGTTGGGGAGCGCAGCTTGCCTCCCGGGGCTGCCCGCCGCGTGAAGGGAGCGAGTGGGGGCCGAGGCGCGAGTGGCAGCGGCCGCCGCAGCAGCCCTGCGCCCTGCGCCGTGAGGAGCGGGTGGCGGGGCACTCAGCTGGCCGGCGCCGAGCCGAGCTGCCGCGGCCACCGTGAGGCGGGGGGCGCCTGCGAGGAGGGGCTGGGTGCCGCGGCGGCCCGACCCTCCCCGCCCGCGGCGCTCCCGCTCGGGTAAGGGGGAGGCTGTGCGCGGGGCGAGGAGTTGGGAGGGTGGAGAGGAGGAAAAAACCGGCTTGTACAAAGGCTGAGTTGCAGGCTGGGGGTGGGGGTGGGTTGTGGTGGAGGAGCAATAGGTTGAAGATCGGAGGCATTATCAGTGGGATCTATTGTTTCCTGGCACATTGGGAGGAAAAACAAAGGGATTTATTATCGTTACCCTGTAATTTCTTTCCTTTTTTTTTTTTTTTTTTTTTTTTTAATGTGGCCAGGGAGCTCGTCTCTCTCCCTGCCACACAGGGATCCGCCTGGCAGCTGCGGGGAGCCGCAGCCAATGTGTTAGGACTTCAGGTGCTTCTTGGCATAAAGCTAGACTGCGACCTCCTACCATAGCGCTTGGCGTCACCTGCTCTCCCGGTCCTGCCCCAGGGCCGAGGGATTGCGTCCCGAACCGGGCTTGGGAATCGGCTGCCTCTCAAGTTGGTGTTATTTATGTTTGTCTTTTGTGAGGGCAGGTTTTGAATCCCCCGGCGGCTCCATCGCCCCCGCCCCCGCCTCCTTGGGTTGGAATTGGCGGGGGAGGGAATGGGGTGTGTGTGTAGGGGAGAAGGGAGGGTGTTTGTGGCTTTGAAAAGAATGGTCAGGGTAAAAGGAGGTTGTCGATGCTTTACAAAAAAAGAAAAAACAGGCACCACACTCCAAAGCCTTTCTTGTTTGTCTGCATGGGCCATGCATGCGTGCTGGGCCAGGAGCCGAGTTTGGAGATGGTTTAAGTGAAAGTGTGTGCCTCCTCAGCTGATTGTGCGTGAGAGTGATGTGGCTCGGTCTAATATCAAAACAAAACAAAAACAAAATGAAAAATCTTTAGATTGTCTGCTCCGCAGCGTATCTTGAGGTATTTGATTGCTCACTGATTGATATAAAATCCTGCTGTGGGCTAAAGGAGACCAGCAAACATGCACTGCATTTTGAACTGTAGTAAGTTAGAGGCAAGAAAGAATAAACAAATCAAAGCTGTGGAAAGAGGTGTCACAGTATATTTGCTTTCTGATTGTCACATTCTTATGCATTTATTCCCATGGTAGTCTGCATCCCACTCCATAATTAATAACCACTGTTAGGAAACTTCCAAATACTTGTTATAACTGAACTTAGAGTGAAACTTATTGCCATTCACGAACTTTTTTTCTCCTTGTTTTGGTCTGAAATTGCATTAGTATTGCTTTGGAGATGCTGTAGATGAGAATATTGGAGCAGAAAAAGTGAAACAAACCTCTGTAGGCATGTTTTAGAGTTTGTAAACATAGATTCCAAACTTAATTGTACTTAGAAAGAATACGTTCTACTTGATTGTGGAGAATCCTAAGTGAAGTTGATTTTCTGGACAGTTTGATGATTTCTTAAAGATTGATGAACTGCTGGTTTCTTTTAAAGATATTCACAAAAGTGACCAAAACTTGGGTTTAAAGTATTGCTTTCATATATACTTATGTGTAACTTTATGTGTGTGTGTGTGTATGTGTATGTGTGTGAGATTTTGATAGGGATCTCCAAATTGTGTTTGAAACATTTTTCACCAAAGACCAATCAGAATGATAATTTCTTGACTTTTAACTTCCTGTTTCAATGAGTAATCTCTTCTGTTTGACACGTGGCTAAGCCATTTGGAAAATAAATTATATATTACTTTACTAGACATAAATTCAAATAAGTAAATGAATTCAGAAATTCATTCTTTTCTATTGCAGATGAACCCCTAGTTTTGCTTTGAAAAAAAGCATTTTGTGTAACTCTTGACTGTGACTAAGTTCCTAATACACCTGTTGGAACGATCACTGACACAGTATGCCGTTTGAGAGGTACTTTTTTTTGACCCAATACTGGTGATTAAAGAAGAGAGGTATCTTGGTTTTTTTTTTTTTTCTCTGATCATTATGAACATTGGCTTTTCACCCCTGAAGTGAAAATGTTGAAAACTGAGTCTTCGGGTGAACGAACCACTCTCAGAAGTGCCTCTCCTCACAGGAATGCATATCGAACTGAGTTCCAGGCACTGAAAAGTACCTTTGACAAACCCAAGTCAGATGGAGAACAAAAAACAAAAGAAGGTGAGGGCTCCCAGCAGAGCAGGGGGAGGAAATATGGCTCTAATGTCAACAGAATTAAAAACCTATTTATGCAGATGGGTATGGAACCCAACGAGAATGCTGCTGTCATTGCCAAAACAAGGGGGAAAGGTGGACATTCATCTCCTCAGAGAAGGATGAAGCCCAAAGAATTTCTGGAGAAAACAGATGGCTCAGTTGTTAAGTTGGAGTCCTCTGTTTCGGAACGAATTAGTAGATTTGACACAATGTACGATGGCCCTTCATATTCCAAGTTCACTGAGACTCGGAAGATGTTTGAGAGAAGTGTGCATGAATCAGGACAGAACAACCGCTATTCCCCAAAGAAGGAGAAAGCTGGAGGGAGTGAACCTCAGGATGAATGGGGAGGTTCCAAGTCCAACAGAGGCAGTACTGATTCCTTGGACAGCCTTAGCTCCCGGACTGAGGCTGTCTCCCCAACTGTGAGTCAACTGAGTGCAGTATTTGAGAACACTGATTCTCCCAGTGCCATCATTTCCGAGAAGGCTGAAAACAATGAATACTCAGTGACTGGGCATTATCCCTTGAATTTACCATCTGTTACTGTTACAAATCTTGACACCTTTGGCCACCTTAAGGATTCTAATTCCTGGTCTTCAAACAAGCAAGGTGTTGATAAAGAGGATGCTCACAAGAGTAATACAACTCCAGTACCAGAAGTGGCTTCTAAAAGTACCTCTCTAGCTTCGATACCTGGTGGAGAGATCCAGCAGAGCAAGGAAACTGAGGACGCTACAACTAACCAACAGACTCCTGACAGCATTGACAAAGACAGTCCTGAAGAACCTTGTGCTGAAAGTAAGGCAATGCCAAAGTCTGAAATCCCTTTACCACAGAGTCAACCATTAGAAGATGCTGAAACTAATTTGGTTGGAAGTGAGGCAGCAAAGCAGCAGAGGAAAGAACTTGCAGGTGGTGATTTCACCTCTCCTGATGCTTCTGCATCCAGTTGTGGAAAAGAAGTACCCGAAGATTCCAATAATTTTGATAGTTCCCACGTGTACATGCACAGTGACTATAATGTGTATAGGGTGAGATCCAGGTATAATTCAGACTGGGGAGAGACAGGCACTGAGCAGGATGAGGAGGAAGATAGTGATGAGAACAATTACTATCAGCCTGATATGGAATACTCGGAAATCGTTGGATTGCCAGAAGAAGAAGAAATCCCAGCAAATAGGAAAATTAAGTTTAGTAGTGCCCCTATTAAGGTAAGTGTGTTTTCTCAGTTTGTTTTCTGTTTGTTTTTAGTACTAGGGCCTAATTGTATGTAGAATAGACTTGTCAGCTAGTAGGAGTTTTTGTAAGGGATTCAAGATTGTTGATATACACTTGTCAGTTGATTTTAAAAGTTTGGAATTTGAGAGATGTCAATTAAATTTCTTAAATGTGCTTTGTAACGGCTTACACCAATAGTGAGTAATATTAAAGTTGAAGAAGTTTGGGGATTGTGAGATACATTCCAATGAACTGGAGTATGAGTAATGTGAGTACTGAAAACCTGGAGTGTTAGTTTGAAATGTAATTACTTAAACTAGTTTTACCTGAAATTATTCATAAATAATATTTTCTGAATGTACACACTGTAAGGTATGAAGTATAATGTACAATGGGAGAGTTATGGTAATCTGGAAATAATACTCTACTTGCTTAAGAAATCTGAGTTATTCCTTAAGTTTAAGGAACTTTTTTTTGGGTACTGCTACTTGGTGGTGAAAATTTAATTCATGGAAATATATTAGCTGACTAAAACGCTTTGAAAAGCTTTGACTGTAGACAGCTTTGAGTTCAAAATTTGTTATGTAGTTTTAAAATGAAATTTTGTGAAAGAAATAACATTGATTTGCCATTCATGGATTCATTTTTACCTCATAAAAGCTGGATAAATGCCAATTGAATTCACATGCTCTAATGACTTCACTTAGTTAACATTTGGTATAGAAGAATAGCACAAAGTACATCAGCAGTGGGTGGTAGAATGTTGTTAGTGGATAATAGCAATAGGGGCAGGAGGAGGTTGGTTGAGTATCAGAATCTCCTGGGGTGCTTTTTCAAAGTGCGCTTGCCCACAGCTCAGTCCTGAGATTCTGGCATGCTCTCCTTGGGGAATCTGGAAGTTTATGGTGGCAGAACGTGTAGTTTTAGACTACATTCTAGGGGCTTCAAGCTTACACAGTGTGTATAAATGATAGACTTGTGATTTTGTATATTTCTGTATATTTTCTCAAAATCTAAAATCACTTGTTATTTTCATTTTAGGACTTTCCATTTAAGGCTGTAAAATATAAATGTACATAGAAATATTTAAAGAAAAATCTGACATTGTTCTATTATGAAATACGATTCTGAAATAAAGTAATAATCTATGAAATTATTTACAGATGTTAGCAGGCAAACCTTCATTTTATTAATGTATAGCAGAAGCTCTGGGTCAGAATGGGTCACGTTAAGTTAAGCTGTAGTTTAAAATAAGCTGCAGATGTCAATCCAGTTTGAGACTAAGTTTCTTTGCAGTGTTTTACCACCTTCCTTCCTGATTCTCTATCTTCTTCTGCCTTCCTACTCCTCCCCAACCCCCCACTGCCCTACTCTAGACCGTCTTTAAAGGTGCCTTTCCTGCAAACCTATCCAGTGAGCTCCTAAACTTCGGCTTTCACATCCTTTTTGAACATCGTCTTTCTACCCCTTGGGAAGAAAGCAATAAGATTAAATCGTTTCACACTGAGAAAGGCAGGAATAACTGAAATGAACTCTTCAAGGAGTTTGTTAAACCTGGTGACTAACTTTTTAATACGGGGGATAGCAGCTTATGAAAATTTATCAAGTAGAACACTACCCACTCAGCCAAGTGGGACACCAGCCCTGTATTTGGGTCCTGTGCTGCACGAAACATAACTGTGCAGTACTAGGTTTAATGGACTTTAAAGGATTTATCATTGAAATATGTCTGTTTATGTGTGAACAAACCAGCTTTTTGGGAATGATATTTTGAAGTTCAAGTAATTTTTGCTGTGATTGCTTATAACAATAAGCATTTTGCCTCTGAATTTTCATATAATAAAGAGACTATTTTATATAGCAAAGAATGAAACATTACCTACGTTTAACACATTTCATCAAGAATAAGATTTGTGAAACAAATTAGATCAAGCAGAAGATTTGTGAAACAAAGATAATGTATTTCATTTTATTGGGCAGTTAACAGGACTAGTTGGAGTGGATTAAATTTGCAAACAGAAGATTCATTCTTAGCCGTTTGTAATGAATAAGACAATGACTCTTTCTTGATCCTTCCATTGTTTAATATGCAAGTGGATTCACTTGGAAAATTTGAGAGCTGCTTTCTACTGGTCTTGGTGGTGGTCATAGTGTTTAGGTTATTCTCCAATTAAGATTTTTTTTTTTTGCCTCAGAGGGTGGTAATACCTAATTAGATTCAATTTAGGTATTTATTGAAGGCTTATCATGTGTGTTCTCTCATGCATATAGCTGAAGAAGACACAAATCTGTAAGGTTACCCATTTCCTCTGTGACTTTATAGAGTCAATTCTTAAACACATTGTGTTTAAAACCCATAAAACAGAGTATAAAAAACTATGCCAAAATGTTTAGTGTCCTGTGAGTCCTTTAATGGCATTTGGTTGTACTAAATTTGTAGAGTGAAAGGGATTGGATAGATTATTTGGAAAGGAATACACACAACCATTTTCTATCTGTGTTTATTCTTTTTATAAAGTTTTAGTTATGGAATGGGAAGTTATAATTCCTAAGCTAAATCTTTTCCTTTGAAACTTAAACATGCTTACTCTTAAAGAAGCAATAGGGAATATATTCTTTAAATGAATGATTTTTAGAACTTTTACATTCTTTTCCTGACTGTGACTTTATTCTTTACTAGGTTAACAATTTCCAGCACCTTTGGTTTTTTGTTACAAATCCTGTTTATCATCTTTGTAAATATTGTCCTCAGTCACTACTTTTTATAGATGTTTTGTGGAGACATTTCCATAAGATGTCTTATATCTGGACTTAGAAAAACATCAAAATAATAGTTGATCTTTCCTGTGTGGCATATATCTTGTATTTGTACATATACCCTGACTTTTAAAAATGGTCGGACTATATTGCTGGCCATTAGTTAGTATGATTTTCCTATCTTTTATAGACACAGTTATTTATTATTGGATGAGTTGATGTGTTTCACAGGGTCATGAAATATTAGAATGGGATAATTAATAGCAAATTAAAATTCAACTTCGAGATATGGAATGGGAGAATATTATGAACCATGCTAATTCGAGATGGAATTATGCCTTTGTTCTCAGGAATTTTTCAAAATGAAAGGATTGAATTAAAGTAAATTTGTCTTAGATGAATCAAACAAGAGAGGGTGACATGTCATTTTTTCTACTAATTCAGAACATTTACGGAGCCCCTAATATGTGTCAGGGACAATGCAAATATAACAAATACATAAAATAAGGAGCTGATGAAGTCAGGAGCTGCTGGTAGTTGGGAAGTGTACAGCCCACCGGTACACTTAAGGAAGCTCTCAGGCCGTTCCCAACTCCGTGCTTTTGAGTAAGGAAGCTCTCAGGCTGTTCCCAACTCTGTGTTTTGATGACCTTTCTAAGGTTGCTGCAACCTCATTAAGGAAGTCACAGCCTTTCTCTGTTTCTTATGTCCTTTTGATTGGTATTTTTTTCCCCCTCAAATACTATTGTGTTACAATGGATTGGTATTCTTGAAACAGCACATCTGAAAAAGATTGTTCTAACTCCCAGTTCAGGAGGACGTAGCAGAGTTAATATTGAGGTACGTTGTGCTATATTTTGAGTGTTTTCTCAAATCCTTTGGAGCATTACAGGATTAGAGTTCAAATAATCAGCAAGGGCAGCAGTGCTTCTTTGAACCTTACATGATATTTGTCGAAAATGGATCTTCCTGTATTCTCTCCCTCTTCTGGGGCTCCAAGTCATTGCCAGGGAGTTCATGGATATATGCAGATTTTTTGTTCAATATGGTTTTCAGAGAATAGTTCTGTTGAGTCCCAACTTTTTGTCTTTGTGGAGGCAAACCATTTATAACAGTTTTGTCAGTGCTTCTTAAACTTTAATATTCATATGAATCACTTGGGAGATCTTGTTAGCTTGCAGATTCTGATTCAGTAGGTATTCTGTGGGAAATTACCTTGATGCAATGGTTGGGCCTCCAAGTACACTAGCAGGCAAGCTGTCTCAGAGGTTATGGAATAGAAGGACTCAGCAAACAAATTAAAATGCTTGAATCACATGATTTACCAAACCGGTTAAGCACAAATCCAGAAGCAGGAGGAAAGCTATGGAGTAAGTTAACACACTTAAGTTTCAAACCAGGTTGGAAGGACCACACTACCTGTGTCCTGGGTAAACAATGTTCCTATATCCCATCTTTCTTTCACATAACCCTTCCACATTCAGAGTGTGGTTATGAGGACCAGAGTTGATATTTGAGCCAACACTCCATAGACTAATGATTTCCTGGGGCGATGATACAAACTTGTTCTATTGAAGAGATGTGACAAATACACTTAGGTACTGCCATAGCTTTGCTAGTTCACCTGCTGATGAGCCATGGAACCATCCTCAGTGTTCACAGTAGATGGCTGATATGGAAATAATGTAGCTGTCAGTCCAGTTATAATGGTGACTTGGTATTTCCATTGCTTTTTGTCTATAAGTAAACCTCATTTGTTCTATCATAACAAATTGTTGTCATGTCTTACTACCAGCTTACCTGTTTATTACACATCTCTTGACTGCCTTCATTTCACCAGCTTGCATTCTTATTATCAATACTTAGCCCAGCCTGAGTGTTGCCTCTGTTTTATAAGTTATTAGTTTATTTACCATCTATGATTATCACTTCTTAGGTGTTTCATCCATCCCATTTGTTTTGTTTACCTCTATAATAGAATTTCATATTCTGAAATAATGTAGGAAAACCACATAACAGTATGTCTGGAGGGGAAGTTTAGATTTTGGATTTCTAACAAGCTCTCAGGTGGTGCTGATGCTGCTGATCAAGAGATCACTCTTTGGAATACTAACTGGAAGTGCAGTCTTCTGGCTTCTGAAAGTGGCTGGCCATAACATGTTAGGGAAACAAAGTAAATCTGCTTTCCACATGGGGCTGCTATTGCTGGTGGGGTGGAATAATGTTCTCTGAAGAT